TGGCAGGAGAACGTGTTAATAGTTATTTATAATAAACGAATATTACCACGCCAAACACGCTGCTCTTCCCTCGGTGTCACGAACCGGATGTTCGATTTCAATTCAAGACAATATTACGATCAGCGTTTGTTTCTCGAATTCTTATTTTATCCACTTTCTCCCTTTCTATTTTCTCCCCTGTCTCCCTCGTCTGGTTCTCTGTCGTTCTCGTCTCCAGCGAAAGAGCAGGCCGGAGATTTATTCGGCCATTTCCCGGCAAGATGTATGCCGGCAATTTCGCAAACCTCGCCGGGCGCGAACGCACCGTGATTTATGCTGGAATTCCTCGGCTCGAAATTAGAAAAATCGCGAGTCGTTCGGTCAATTCGCGTGCCAATTTGTCACGGGGCTCGGCCGTGCCGAAGCGGAAAATCATTTTCCACCGCGCATACGTACGTACGGTACCCATATGTCGCCCGCCCCGCGGAATATTAAATTTTTCTGGAATTCCGCGTAACTCGGACTGCTACCGGCGAATGCTGGAAATTGAACCAACTACGGAGAAGCCGCGCGGCGATGGAACCTGGGGACCGTTTTACTTACCGATTGAATTTTCAATAAAACTCGCTTGTATTCGCGGTTTAGTTCGTCGTAAAACGATTGCACCGTACGACCGCGGCACATTTACATCGTTCTTGATCCCTCGAATCCATCTCGGAAATTCGTAACGCTTACGGGTCGCTGTTTCTAGAGACATAAAGCTTCGAAGTGTAACCGTTCTAATGCTTCTAAGTAGATTTCCAATGTCTCTATAAAAGTGGGTAATTATCGATTCATGGGGACACGTTAAAAGAATAATAGATTCGCATCGGAGTAGTGTCGTTAGAATTAAAAACATGAATCTCCTATTCTTTAAGGTCCTTTTCTACTGCAATCGAATTAATCAAATTACATTCGCATTTAACTTGTTCCAATTCTAATCCTTTGCGGGCGAAAACCTTCGGCAGACGATAAACAGCAGAGAAACAATAGAAGTTTAAGTAAATAAATCATTTGCTCGCGACTCAGCATTCTGAACGTGACAATTCCATCTCTCCGAGACGTCGACGTCCGTTCGTAGACGATTAAAATCGTTTCTGAATATTCTAGACTTTGGATGTTAGAACCTTGAAAAGTCGTTCGCGAAGGGTTTACGGCTTTCATGAATATTCAATCGTTCGACAAAACGTTACGGGCGTAACGACGGCAGTAGCCGCACCCGGCGAGCCATTTCCGTAACAACTCTTCGTACGATAAATCGCAACGTGTACGAACCTCATAATACGCGGTCGTTGGGACGATTACCAGCGTCCCTAATTGACGTCTATGTATTCCGATTGCCGTCGCCGCGCATGCCACAGCAACCCTGAATACGCATCCCCGTTATCGAGCTTTGTCCCGCGTGCATCCGCGACGATTCCTCTGGATGCGTTCGTCGTCGACGGTACAAAGGAAACCGGACTCTTTCCCGCGGAGAATTGCTGCTCCCGTTACGCGCCGGAAACCACGAATGCCTCTCTCCCTCTCTCGCGACAGAGGATAATTGAGGACGATGAAATAAGATGAAATCTCGAGTGCAGTCACTTCGCTGATGAACAGCGAATCACGTTAACGACGGTCGAAAGGAAATTTACGATCAACCACGTTTGACCTTTCCGCTACGAAGATCTCTGCTGGAACTCGAAAGAAATGAAACCGGTTTACACGAAGCGTCTGAAGAAGTTGATTTGACAATGCCTTCTAGAAAAAGGAGCTTCTGTTCAGACAAGCTATTCCCAATTGATTAATCTCTCTGCGATTCTTCGTCTTACAGCTACCTTGAAAGTAAGTGGACAAATTAATAACTGAAAACCTGATGTTTTGAGAAAAACTGATACGTCGATCCGTAAATTTGCCGAAAACTTCGGTTTTCCCAGGGTCGATGAACTCGTGTCTAATCGCTAGTGAAAATTCTAGATCCAAAGTGACCGCGACCAGCGGCGAGCGACAATTGGCCGCCGCGTGAGAACGAGGTCTCGCGAAGAGCGATTACAGACGGCAGTCACGGCGAAGAGATTCATTGCGCGGATTAACTTTTTCGATATAGGTGATCACCTGCGGAGTTTCGTTCGGATCGATGCTGGTCATCGGCGGTAAAGGAGGAACGCTCGAAGAGGGGACGCCGTCGAAAGCTGTACACGCCGCGCGGTCTGATTTATGACGTTAAACCCGGACGCGAAATTTCATTCGTGGCACTGCGCCGTACGAATACGGCCTGGCTTCTATATTAAACGGCGGCACGTGCACTCTCGGCCAGTCGCAGCAGGTGTGTGGCAGCCTGTATCCGTCGGAATGGCGCGTCGAGTCGAGTCGCGCGTGCATCCGAGCAGTTTCGTGCAATTAAATCAGTGCCGCGAGCACACGCCCATCACCGCGACGCACCATCGCACCCATCCACCATCATTTTAGCATACTTCTCTGCGCGTAATTCCCGTCGACGCGACTCGTCGCGCCCGATATTCTCGTTTGCCGGATGAATCACCGAATCGTCCCTCTCCTATTCCTTTTTCAGCGTTTCGTTGTTTTAGCCACCGCGGAATCTCGATTATCCAATTTAATTGCCTGACTAACGGTCCGAACGAATGGGGAAATTAATGGTGGAATGTTTTGAAATTTAGTATAGATTTATCGGGTCTCGGTGTAGCCAATAGGCTGGACGATTTGGATTTACGGTTATTGCATATTTCAAACGCTATTTCGCGAGGATTTAAGTCAACTTTTATTGTTGCAATTATGGAAATACAGGTTATAATTCGTTGTTTTTGATAGTATAATTTCCGCGATCTGTATGAACAGATATGAAGTCTTCTAAGAGCGATAGATTAAGGTGTAGAACGAATGTCTAAATACAGTGTTAATGGAGGTACAACACGGTGCTGAGATGGAATTTTCATTGGTAAATGAAACGCGGAGTATAGATTATGGAAACTTCACCATCGATCGCGAGTGACTTGGTCATTTCAGTGTTAGGATCAACGCGATCGACTGTGTATCGACGAACTCAAATTTCCGAAAATTCTCCGCGCGTAACACCGGAGAACGTGTTCCCATGATTGATGGTCGTGGAGCGGTGGATCCGGATCGAGAGGCGACCGATTAATTTTCTAACTGTCGCGTGCGTTAACAACAGAGGCACGGATCAGTTCTAATTAATGACGGTAACTCGGGAAATCAGAGTGACAACCGCTCTGGACAGGAAACGGGGATGTTCTCGGCTTGAAAATACGACGAACTTGCCTTTCGCGTCGATCGAGGAAACCGAGAGAAAACAGAAACTAAAAAGTTCGTGCGGTAAACGCTGTAACATCAGACTCGAGTGTTTCGATTGGTAACGCGACGATCAAATGACGGGTGTCGATCGCAGCGGTGCGATGTTCCGTATCTTCGAAGAGGAGCGTCCGTGATTTTCGATTCTTGGCTCCCGGAACTCCGCCGAAAAACGTTTGACAAAATAAAAACGGGTTCGACGGTGGCCGGTGTTTGATCGCGTCACGGGAACGAGCCGGGAATTCCATCGGGGGACGTTGACGCGACGCACAATACCAGTTAATACCCGTGTTAAGCGCGGCAGGAGTGTTTTGAAAACCCGTCACCGTGGAGTGATCGAGGAGCACAAACGATCCGGTCGGTGTCAGATGCAGCTGCATCGTTAATTGTCCTTCAACTCTACTTCATCCTTGCGCCGCTCGATAACGAGTCGCTCGTACGAATCGACGTCCCGTGTATCCAATTAGATCGCGACGCGAATTCGGAAGGGAATATCTACGAAACAGAATTTCTCGAATCACCGACGTTCTTGTTTCACTGGAGCCGCGAGCGCCGGAAAATTGTTATCAAGCGTTTAAATGGATCACGGTCGAATATCCAAGAGCTTATCGCGTTACACTATCCGCCAGCATCGTTCCCTTATCAGTGATTCATCAGAACCGAAAGGAATATTCCACTTTCGTCGTAAGTTCGGTACCACCGCTAAAATATTCACATTGCAATCAAGCTTCGAATCACTGTCACGCCTCGGTTGATATCGCGGGCAACTGAAATAAAACTCCAAGAAAAGAAGAACGTCCGGCCATTCTCGATTGAACTGGCGAGACGGGTATCTTCCGATTCTCGGAATACGCTGTAGATCGTGTTCCCGTGGAGACGGTGACGCGCCGCACGCGCGACAATGGGACCCTCGACGTAGGGGTTAACGACACGCCGGATTTTTCCCTGATTTTCTGTAATGCTTAACGAGGCGACCCCGTCGAAACGA